GTGAAATAAGCCAGACTTAGTTTGAAATATTGAAGGTAATTAACCTGTTTAAATCACTTTATTCCGTCGCCACCGCAGACTATTCTAAAGAAGCAACATACTCAAATCGAGTGCTATTACGCCCTAGTCGTGAAATAAGCCACCCCTTAGTTTTCATAAACTGAATTAGGCAATTAACCCGTTGATATTATCTTCCCCTCATTTCCCTCCTCTTCAAGACCACACTGCCACTTTCAGACAGTTACCTATTGTTGAAGTAGCTTATAGATATCATAAATCTTATTAAAACTGTCTTATATTGGTCGTGAATTAAGCCACCTCTGTGTAGAAGTCTATGGCGATCGCTGTATAGACTTGTACACAGGGGTGGCTTATTTCACGAACAGTATAAGACAGTTTCATATCCAGTCATCCCTTATATTGATCGTGAAATAAGCCACCTCTGTGTAGAAGTCTATGGAGATCGCTCCATAGACTTGTACACAGGGGTGGCTTATTTTTATTTTCTCACAAAAAAAATATTTTGTGCAGCGCCCTCTGCAACAGAACTCAACTATCCCTTTAAATAAAATGACTGAGGAAATCATTTTAGTCGTTGCTTTTATATCCTTCTCACTGTTTTACTATCTGTAGCTCAACACAACCACCCATCCCTTTCTTTCTCTCTCTCTCTCTCTCCCTCTCTCTCCATCCCACCCCTCTCTCTTTCCTCTCTCTCTCCCTCTCTCTCTCTCATTCTCTATCTAATATATAGTATCTGTATAGATAATGTTGGATATGCAACATTACTTATGATAACAAAACAACAATTTTTATCAATGCATCAACTTGTCTAACGCAGACATTATTATTAAATAATGAACAGACACACAATTTAATATAACTTTAAAAGAGTTTTTTTTTTCTTCTCTCTACCTTAATAGCAAATACGAGATCGAAGCACCTCAATGATCTTAGATTCATATTTTTCTGGCGGTTTCCGAATAATACTAACACGAGTTTGAGACACAATGCAAATAATATGCATTTCAATGTGATTTCAGCAAGATGTGATTCTTCTAACACCATAATAACACTAATGGTAATGATGATGACGTTGATAATGATAATAACAATAATGATCATGATAACAATAATAAAGATCATGATAATAACATTATTGATCATGATAATAAACAATAAAGATCATGATAATAAACAATAAAGATCATGATAATAACATTAATGATCATGATGTCAATAATAAAGATCATGATAATAATATTAATGATCACAATAATAAACAATAAAGATCATGATAATGATATTAATGATCATAATAATGAACAATAAAGATCATGATGATAACAATAATGATCATCATAATAAAAATAATGATCATCATAATAACAATAACAATAATGAACAATAAAGATCATGATGATAACAATAATGATCATCATAATAAAAATAATGATCATCATAATAACAATAACGATCATGATAATAACAATAAAGAACATGAATATTACAATAATGATCATTAATATTACAATAATGATCATGATAATAACAAAAAATATTTTTTTTTTTTAAATTAAGGGGATTATGATTTTATGAGCATTTGGGTAAAGGCTCGGAGTAGGAAACGATGTAAGAAAATGTGAAAGAGATGGGAAAGTAGATGGTATTTTATAGGTTGGAGATAAAGTGTAAACGAGTGAAAAACAAGTCATTAGTGGAAGAAAATGAGAAAGTATGGGGGGGGGGTAAAGAAAGAAGAGGGGAGAAAAGGCAAGCAGATGGAGTAAAGGAGGCGGAGGCTGGAGAGGTAGGCGAGGAAGAAAATTTTAGGAAGAATGAGAGAGAGAGAGAGGGAATAAGAAGAGGACGAAGAAAAAGAAAAAGAAGATGAAATAAGGCAAAGAAGAAGAGGAAGAGGAAGAAGAGAGAGAAGAAGCGTTGAAGAGAATGGAGTGTTAATTAGAGGTCAAGGTATTCCACATCCTTCCTCTGTGATTCTTTTCTTGCATTGAATATGACAAAGGATGACACAACTGCGTACCTACTTATATTCTGGAAGAAACTATTCGGGCGAAGAGGGACTGAACATTTCCTGAGTACCCCCTTTAGCCGATTTGTGTTGTCCCTATTTATTTGCCCCCTTGTTCCTATCACAATAGCATGGTGTGTCACACTATAAATATTGTTTCTTACATCGGCCACAAGTTCTTTGTACCGGTCGAGCTTTCTCGTGTGAGCAGCATTGGTGTTTGTCTCAAAGGGCACTGTTAGTTCGATCATTAGCATTTGTTTCATTGATTCCAAAATAACGACGAGATCTGGGCGTTGAGTAGTTACATAAATATGGGATGTGATGGTCCCGCCCGCAACGGTGAAGCCCTGAATATCGGCATAAACTTGTTCGTGAGGGGGGGGGGGGGGGGGACTCTTTCACAGTTCGATAAATATACCTAAGAATATTATTGTGCCTCCATTCGTATCTGTCAAGAAATTTTGAACAGTTTGCTAGAATGTGGTGAAGGGTGCCGGTGGTAAGTGGGCAGAAAGGGAACTTGTTTGTCAGTCTTTTCCCAAACATGCGAAGATTTGCGTATGATGGCAAAGAGTCAATACATGAGTTGGTTACAAAGCTTAATACCCTCTTAGGTAGATTGTACATTATGGATTCACATGTGAGAACTGATTTAACTTGCTTTGGTGTAATTGGATTTAGATTGAATTCACTTTTAGTGGGTTCATTTACGGATACATAAGGAAGACAGTTTAACTGATTAAAGTCTAATGTAACTTTCTGAGAGTACTTGCTTGGATAATACAAGTCTGCCGTCTCTTTTGTGAAAGAAGGTTTCGTAGAGTCCTTGTCCAGACTTCCATTACATACCGCTTTCGAGAAGCTCCAGAAGTCTCTACGATACCGTTTTTCGTAGTATCGTGAATCCTTTTCTGCTTTTCTGCTATCACATTTCTTGTTCCGAAAAGATACTGCCTTCACTGCGTCACTGAAGTTCCTCCCATCTTCTTCGGTGGCGTTTTTCCCATACGCTTTCCATCGGAGGGCATTTTTCTTTTCCCTTGCGTCTGAAAGAGTCTTCGGTTCATGCGCGATGTATAGGATTCCGAGTTTCTGTTGCCGACGAAATCAGGCTGAGAAGAGTAGTATCGAAGACGATACGTGAAGCGATCAGCTGCTTCTGTAGTAGTGATGTCACGTTGACATAAATCATGATGTAAAGTGTGCGCATGTAAAAATGACGCCTGGCTGGAATGCTCCCCAGGGAGTGGAGAATGTGCATACATTGTGTGCGGGTAAGCCTGAATCCAATGACCGGGGTAATAATATACTTATCTGTAAAGCGCTTTGTGAGGGCCTCCGGTCCTGAAAAGCGCTATATAAGAACGAGCTATTATTATTATTATTATTATTAAAGGTGTGATGAGATCCTTTAAGTCAGAGTTGACACTATGCCAATCATCGGTGGTGTAGGATGGGATGATGAAACGTGTGAACGCACCGGCATGGACAAAGCAGAGAATTAATGTCAGAATGTGAAGTGATCCGGCTCCGCTCATTGGCCCGAATTCACAAAGCAAGGTTTGAGCTCAGACCAAGGTTTGAGCTCAAACCTCCTTTTGTTTCGCCAAATCTCCTTTTGTTCTTTACAAACCAGGTTTGTAAAAAATGCGTAAAACGCGTCATATGACGTACGAAAACCAAGGTTTGTCGACAAACCTCCTTTGTGAATTCGGGCCTCTGTGTTCGCGTTGCCAATAGTAACGACAGTAACAATGACACTCACTTAGCTTGGGCGTGAGGTCAAGGCTTCAACTGGCTGTAAGTAAGGACTTTTAGATTCACACGAAGACAATGGGGATTGCTACGGTCGTCGTGCTTTTAATGCACTGCCTTCACACGTATGAGTCCACGCAAATCTAAAAGTCCCTATTAGCGGGTCAGGTCTCGGGCCGTGCACTGGACTATACCGATGGCAATGTCCATTGTGGTATGGCTGACCAACTTCCGAATAGGATTCGAATCCCGTTTAGGTCTTCCGTTGCATAAAAAGTCACTTATGACATGGAGATTATGATGAATGATAACAAACGGACAAATTTTGTACTATAGTACAAAATTGTGATCGGGCGCGGCAAAACACGGTAAAAATAAGGCAAAATTTGCAGGGGTTATAACCTTACCTGTGTTTTCCGTTGCGCCCTCTATAGGATCATGATAATGACAATAATGATCATGATAATGACACTAATGATCATGATAATAACACTAATGATCATGATAATAACAATAATGATCATAATAATAATAATAATAATAACGTTTTATTTACCCAGGGTAGCCACTTCAGTTATAAAACTGCTCTCCCAGCGGGCCCTGCATAACATAACATGTTACTATTACCCTTCTCCAATCTAATATGCTGAGCGCCTAGCTAGAAGGCAGAAGGTCCCATTGTTATAAGTCTTTGGTATGACTCGGCCGGGGATCGAACCCACGACCTCCCGTTCATGAGGCGGACGCTCTAACCATTGAGCCACCATGCCCGGTTAAGATCATGATAATTATTGGGCAAGACCAAGCTATTACGTTACCGATCACATCTAAGATTCTTGTATATCGATGAGTGTATCAAGCTGATCGTTCTCCAAGAGCTTAAATCAGACAAAATATCAAATAAAATGATACATCTTATGTAATATACACAATACCATTCAGTGGTACTTGGAAGCATAATTTGTATAGGATATATCTTTGACTTGCCTTATTACGCTAATGGCAATGATGACGATGGCAATGATGATGATGATAATGATGATGATGATAGCGATACTACTAGTTTTACCACCGCCACTACTACTTCTACTACTACTACTACTACTACTACTACTACTACGATGACGACTACTACTACTACTACTACTACGCTATTACTAATACTACTAATACTAATACTTATGTTGCTGCTACTACTACAATAGATAACATTCTTGACGGAAACATTTAAATGGCACTTTAATGCCATCTTTAAATAAAGAAAGGAGAGAGGTGTTGGAAGAGAGATATAAAGTTGGTAGACAGTTGGTAGAGAGTGAAGAGATACAAGCAAAAGTGCGGGATAGAGGGGAAAGTGGGAGAGAAAAAAGAAAGAAGGATGGAGAAGGAGAAGAAGAGAGGTAGAGAGAATAGGGGGAGACAATGTTGAATATCGCGGAGTCATTCGTCCCCGGACATAATATCACTTTCCTCCGACTTTTGAGATCTCCCAAAATAATCACTCTTGATCAGTCGATAAAACAAAAGAATGTTCAATATAAGCAATATCGCAGCCATGGGAGGGAGAAGCAGGCCAACCTCCGTCCAATGTCCGCACAACCACCACGTGACGTAAGTGAAAATACCCAGGCGGAGCACGAAGTAGGTGACGACGTTGAAAACGTTGTTGATCTGGAAGACGATGTCGCTTTTCTTGTAGCTACACATGAGAAGGATGTGGCGGAGATGAAGAAATATTCCGTTGAGTTCCATACATGAAGAGATGGCGATTATACCAATGAGCTTCCTCTCTATGAGCACCCAGCATACAAAACCCATACCCTGCGGAGACGAGAATGAGAACAAGAGATTAAGTGACTAACAATGATTAAGTTTGCTCTCTTTTTCCCTGGCCGCCATTTTTTGCATTCAGAATATTGCTATACAAATTTGTATTTGCATAATTTTTGTCATTCCAATTTTGTAATCACCATGATTATATTATTTTATTGTTGTATTTCTTGAAAGTGCCGAATAAATAATACAATACAGGTGAGGAAGAAATTCAAGGGAAATCCAACCTTGATATAGAGCTTTCAAATTGTAAGTTCTTTTATAAGATCCGTTATAAATTAGAATAAAATAGAATCTTCTACATCATATTTTATTTTTGCATAATTAATGACTTTGAAGAATCCTGGATATCTACTATGACTCCAATCAGATGATATCTCTCTTATGATTAAATTGCATAACATTTGTTTTCATTGGACAATCTTAATTCGTTGTTTCAAGATGGGAATTTTTTATCAATAATTAGTGATATGCAGTTTCTTGGGTGATCGATAAACAAAGAAAAGATAATTGATGGTGACACTATTCTTTCTTTTTCTAATGAAGAGGGATCTAAAAAAAAAACATATAAGGTCATCAAGAGCACTGTTTTTGTTTGGGGGGCTCAACGGTGCAGAGGGGAGAGTTAACACTGTTTTTTGTTAACACCACCCCCCCCCCCTCTTTTTGCCAGGGGGGAGCCCTTTTTTTTTTTTTTTTTAAAGGGTAAAATTAACGTTACCCTCTTTTTTTTTTTAACTGTTTTTTGCCAAGGAAGGGGGCCGGGTCTGTCGCCCCCACCCCCCATGTGGATCCGCCCCTGGGTACCCGGTAGGAATTAATTCCTTGAAATGCTAGAGCGCCGTAATAGAGCGATGCTAAAGCCGGGGTGCCAGGAGTGTCAAGGCTGACAAATATGAGCGCTATACAAGAACCCAATAGTATTATTATTATTAGCAGGACTACTAAAAGGTTGGATTGCGCTTCACTTCGTTTCAAAGACATATTCATGACAAGGCGCAGCCCATATTTTCTCGAGTTTTGCAATTACATGTGTTACCCGCATTGTTATGGTATTGAGCACAAAATGATGAGAAAATGCTCATTATAGAAATGTTCATGAAGAAACAAATATCAATTCAACTAGGAGAGCTTTTGATACAGAATTAGTAGGTTCGCTCGTTTTATTTTACTTCATTAGGTTTTCAACTCTCTTGTTTCTCTATCAACCTGATGATAATAGTCTAGAACAATATCTATTGAGGGGGGAACAGAAACAGCCTTGCATACCATGGTATGGTGTATCATCAGCGGAAGAAACTCAGCCAGTTTGGTGTTCCTTGCTAGATCACAGAAATCATAGACATAGTATCCTGCATGAAGAGGGGGGGGGGCAAGAAACACAGGGGCGTCGAAACATATGTGTCAGTGCATAAAGGTGTTGAAACATAGATTTATGGAAACATATATAGGGTGTCGAAACAATGATGTGTCGATACACAGGAGTGTCGAGCAGGCGCGGATCCAGGATTTCTTAGGGGAGGGGGCCCAACTTTTTTTTTTTTTGCTCCCGAAAATTTGAAAATCGGGCCGGCCGAAAAGTCGCTCAGTGGGGGGGGGGGGGGGGGGGGGGGGGTAGTGAGCACATTTTTTTTTTTTTGATCCTCAAAAAAATTTCGATTTGCACCCCCCCCCCCCTTGAGCGCCAGGGGGGGGGGCCCAACCCCCAAAAAGGTAAAAATCACGTGATTTTACATGATTTTTTTCTCAAGGGGGGGGGCCCGGGCCCCCGGGCCCCCCCCCCCCCTGGATCCGCCACTGGTGTCGAGACATAGTCGTGTCGAAGTATGCTCACCGTTACTGCTGTCAGTATATAATAATAATAATAATAGTGTAAACTTATAGAGCGCACACACCGTCCAGGGACGCTCATGGCGCTAGCTCAGCAACAGTTCTCTTTGATACAAGTAAAGTAAAGAATTTTGCGATATTTTTTGCAATATTTTTTTTATAACCCATTTCAATCCTCAGCTCTGCCCGATGGGGCCCGGTTCCCTCCAGCTTCTCCGTTCACTGACAATTTAAGGGACTAGCCCAGTCAGCATATTATTCACAGAAGCTCTAGCATCTGAGGCCAACATGCCCCACACGGGCAGTCAATGAGACTAAAGGGTGATAACTAATTAATTTCAAATGTATATACAAATAACATATCAACTATGGATTTAGTAAAATAAACTTATACAACTTAAGGAAATACTGGGTTACAGATGGAATAGGTAAGTCTTAAGATGAGTTTTAAAGGTGGCGTATGTTGCAATAGAGCTAAGTGATGAGGGAAGCTTATTCCATAACTTGGCTGCTGCATGCGAAAAAGCATGGTCTCCCCATGAATGACGGGTACGGAGGATTTGCAGCAAATTATCACTTCCAGATCTTAAGGTACGAGTTGGATTGTAGGGGTGTAGTGAGTCTTTAATGTATTGTGGCGAAATTCCACGGAGAGCCCGATAAACAAGTAAAATAATTTTGAAGTGGACCCTTTTCTGGACAGGTAGCCAGTGAAGAGAGCGTAATATAGGCGTAATAGAAGACATTCTTGGTGTGAGGGTACGGAGTCTTGCACTGGAATTTTGGAGAGATTGCAGTCTGTGTTGCTGCTGTTTTGTGAGTCCAAATAGAATAGAATTACAAAAATCTAAGCGGGATGAGATTAATGCATGGATTAATATTATTGTTCACATGCTTTTCACCATAGTGGTGTCGAAAACAAATTGATGTCGAAACATACGGGTGTAACAACAAAGAGATGTCGGAACAGAGGGGTGTCAGAACATGGGGATGTCCGAACATAGTGATGTCGAAACATACTCATAGTTATACTGCTGCAAGTAGATATTAGCATAGTGGTGTCGAAACATAATGGTAAAGAAATATAGGGGTGTTGAAACATAGTGGTGTCGAAAACATAGGGGTGTCGAAACATACTCACAGTTACTGCTGCAAGTAGATATTAGCATAGTGTGTCGAAACATAATGGTAAAGAAATATAGGGGTGTTGAAACATAGTGGTGTCGAAAACATAGGGGTGTCGAAACATAGAGATGTCGAAACAAGGGTGTCGAAAAAACAGGTGTCAAAATTTAGCGCTATAAGACTTAGTAGTGTTGAAACCAAATTTAGTTGAAGCATAGGGATGGAGGTCTCATACTCACCGTTACTGATAGCCATAGATATTAACATAGTAGATGAGAGCGCATTTAAATGGTCACTCAGCAGCTCCGGGGTGAGGTATATGCTGTAACGGAGGAAGGAAAAATTAGTGTTAATCCATATATAAAAAAAGAAAAGATGATTGCAACCATAATGCTAGCAAATCAGGTGTATAGACTCTTTAAATATACTTTCCTTACAAATCTGCACCATTTTACTATTAAGATATATAATACATGAAATCTCAACAGCCTTTCATGCATTATCAATTTGCAGCTTAATACCATTTAAACGAAATTTATTTGAGACTCTTTTAGGTATACAGAGTAAATGTAAGCCGCCTAAAATATTGGTAAATTTCTGGTATGAAATATGGTTTTCGTCTATATAGTTATGTGAAATTTAAGAATCCCATGTATAAGAACTGTATCGTGTTGTGAAAATAACATGATCTTTATGACCTTCTAAAATCTCCAGTTCTGTGCGAATATCACGATTTTTTTTAACGTAATATGTACATGTGATATACAATAGGGTATTGAAGAAAAAAAATCTTGATTTCATTTGGTAAAATTGTTTTGCAATCCTGTTTGATTTATGTTTAGAAAGGAAATAGCATACCTAGCGAAACCTCCAATGGTGCCAGATACCGCATGGACCGTCGAAACCAACACGTTTCTCCATTTATGTCGGCGAGATCTTTCGGCGTACTTCGATGGTACGGGCAGCTTGTCGATAAGGGCGTTGAGTATGAAGCACGTGATCATCGACATCGCCATGACAGCAAAGCTGGTGGATGGTGAGACTTCCATTTCGTAGACCAGAATGCTGATCTCAGAAGTGATTGATTGCAGGAGTGTGTTCATCAAAATGTGCGAGACCTCCTAGAACGGAGAAGGGTGGGTCGGACAAATACAACTCGGGTTAACAAATTACGACAATGAATAGCGTGAACAGAATAATATTGTAACAGTCCTAATATGCACGTTAACCAGACCGACACCAAACACACTGCAACGATTCCTCCACAATGACAGCTAGTGCGGGTCAATGCACTGTCAGGGTACTATCATGAGGGGGTGGGGGAACAAGTACCTGATTTAATACTGGAGACAGTGGATAAAATGCAAACTAACAAGATCATATATGGGGATCGTAGCCTCCCCTCCCCACCTCCCCTCTCTCTCTCTCTCTCTCTCTCTCTCTATATATATATATATATATATCCTCTCTCTCTCGCTCTCACTCACTCACTCCCTTTTTCCGTTTTTCACCATTTAACTGAGGGGGTCGTGTCCCCGTGCCACCTGAAGCTACATGACCTAGTTGTAACGGGGAAGCAGTTTTGCATTATTATTAACGCTGCAAAAGTTGAATTGTGATAAAACCGTCATTGTGGAAGTTTATGTGTAACACCAAACAGTTAACCCGTGTATTTTCCAGTTACAACCCTGAAGAGAAAAAAGTAGATGCCTACTCCATATACTTACATTACAGCAACTGCCATTGAATTAAATCCTGAATTCTGACCATATACGAACAATACTCTTTACAAGATATCATAAAATAGCTCAACAGAAGTTTATTTATGCATTCGTTTATGCATTCGTGATACTGTTTTGACCTGGGGAGTCTCTTCAATGGAATCTCGTGATTCAATGGAAGTTGCTTTCCAAGGAAAAGAAAAGAGCTATTGAACCGTATATATACAAACAAAAAAAGTCTAACACAATATTAAAAAGCTTAGGCTTCTCTATAAAGTACGCGGTGCATAACGACCTATTGTATCGGCTGCTTCTGCATATTGAATTCATAAATGTAATGCCTGCATGTGTGTGCATGTGTGTGTTCTTGTGTGTATTATGGATAGAGGTGTAAAAAGATACCTGATTTTTGATGTTTTTCTTCATAGCTTAGTTTTTCGTTGTTTTTTTTCTTGATATTTCTTGATATAAATCAAATTTACCATGCACTCTTTTCGAGGCACCCGTAACATTACACATCTTCAGTGACTGGTCCCTTAGAAACAAGTGCTAAGCCAGTCACAGAGAATTTAGGATTTCAACTGAAGCCGCTCAGTGCATAGTAAATTTGATTTTCATACGAATTTCATTTCATTTGATCGTTCGTTCGTTCGTGTCTCCTTAGATCAAGATTAATGTAAGCTTGATCTTCGGAGTAGTTGCTACAACCGGCCGTGTCAGACACGTTGCCCCGGGGTGCGAGATAGGACTCTTGTAGCGTGCCCCCATTTAAAAAAATTATACCATTACAGTTAACATTACATTTAATTAATAGTATGAAACTATTAAAATTACTCTCATGTTACGGGAAAAAAATATTGCATATATGAATCAATTGATTTGGTCGATTAAATAATGAAACAGAAACCTTTGATCTCCATCCTGAGGTTCATATTTCTTGGAGTAATTTAAAAGGCATAGTAAACAGTACCTACACACTAAAGTCATTTCATAATAGGGTATTGGTAACTTTAATATTTGTTGGATTTGTAATTAATATTCATGTTAATTAATGTTCATTTGATCAACATTGTGGATTGGTATATGAGCTTCCGGGTTAGAGCGATGGAGACGGTTAATAACGTTGGTGTATAATGTGGATTTATCAATTTCAGATTCTGAATATTGGCAGCGAATTGAATCATATTGAAAAGAAAGCGATTCATAGTTATTATACATGATAATTCTCGGTTAACATATTCTCTCTCTCTCTCTCTCTCTCTCTCCCTTTTTCTCTTGCATAAGAAAATATCAAGTCCGATTAGAGCAGGATATAACCTGTCTACTTGGAGGTAAGGTATTAAGATCAAATTGAACATTTTTTGAACATCCGAACAAACATTTAAGATACCTATTTAATGTTCATTTGTGATGGATACGAATGCAGGTAGGTTAAAATGTAAAATGATCAATTGTTGATTGATTCGTTCAATTTTACAGGAATGTGGTGACTTGTCGGTTACGAACGGCAAGCTTCAATATCTACTCATAAACAATACGAAATCTAGCTGTAGCTAATACACAAACAAGAATTTGTTTAAGGGATGTGATAGAATGAAGTTTGGATTAAAACAAATTATAAGCAAGCAATGTGTTTCACCCACCAGCGTATTGCATTGAATAAACGGACAGACAGATAAAATAGATGGCTATATAGATAAATATGAATTTATATATACATAGAAAGAGAGAGTGCGAGAGAGAGAGAGAGAGGGGGGAGAGAGAGAGGGGAGAGAGAGAGGGAGAGAGAGAGAGAGGGGGAAGAGAGAGAGAGGGGGATTCATCCATTATAGTATTTCAGTGGCGTACGTAGCTATTGAGTTTTTCTAAGTAGTGGGGGCTGTTACACCCACAACAAAAAGTGAGTCATTTGACACATTTAAGCATAATTTTCGTGAGTCAGGTGTAAATTGACTCATTAGTAACAACCAATGAGTCTCTATTGACTCATTTATATTTCACCAGTGTGTCAATCATGAGCTGACGCATTTGCAAAATGTTTCGACTGACTCACATGGTCGTAAAAAATGAGTCAAGATCGACATAAGAGCATTTTAGAAGAAAAAAGTGAGTCAACTTGAAAGTGAGGCTGTATGCATGCGCGCGCATGCTTTCGTGACGTCATCCAAAATGCGCATTCTCGAGCCATATTTGAATTCCCGATCGACGACGCGACGTCGCCATCTTATATCTTGGATTCAGAAGAGTTTTGACTGCAGCTAGTGAAAAATTGGTACGCATAATTATTCATATGGTTTTAAACGATGATTTTTATGACTGGATTCGTGGGCTGAATCTTCTGATTATTATACAAATGATGCATGCGTTCATTTTACGATATCCGCACTCGAGTTGATGAGGCTGTGTGTAACTTAACTAGATTCTACTGTATCGCACGAAGCCGTGTCGAATGAAAACATGCATGATCTTGCATCATTGTTTTATACAACGAAACTCCTAGATCCTTGTTATTTGATGTAAAACGAATTAATTCAAGATTGTTTCGTGACAGTATGGGTGACAAATAAATCTCAAGTTAAGGCTTAATTTAGTGCGTACAAAGTAGATTTTTCAGATTCGGGTAGCGGGACCACCGATTACATCGCTAAAATGTGATATTTTAGGATATATTTTCCATTGCAAATGTGGACAGTGACTCTGGCATGGTATGGTATGTGTGTGATAGGCCTAGGGAGTAGGGGGGTCTATGTCATGATGCACCCACAACAAAAAGTGAGTCACCCTTACTCAAATTGATGAGTCACTGGTTTGTCCGTACAGCGAAACACTTGAAGGATCATGTGAGTCACTATGACTCGATACAAATGAGTCTCTTAGATAAATAAGACTCATTTGTATCGAGTCATAGTGACTCACATGATCCTTCAAGTGTTTCGCTGTACGGACAAACCAGTGACTCATCAATTTGAGTAAGGGTGACTCACTTTTTGTTGTGGGTGTAGGGATATTTTGGTGCAAATTCTTCTAAAAGCACCAAATTTGGCCCAGAGGTAGATTATACCATACTATTACGATTTCTGCCGGACGCCAAGAAGGGCGCTCTCTGGGACTGCCATATTGGGCAAATCCAAAATGACCGCTATCTGAGAGTACGTTCCAAAAGGAAAAGCGCTTGTATGATAATAGTTTATATATTTATAGGGTTTTGGGGGTCAGAGAATCTGATTATAATGTTCTTTCATTGATTTGAGGTCTCGTTGGGGCTGCCATACTGGTCATACTGGTCAAATCCAGAATGGCCGCCATCTGAGTTACAGGTCAGGTGTAGTTATGAAAGGAAATGGGCTAGTATGATAACAGTTTATTATATATTTATGGGGTTTTCTGGGTCAGAGAATCTGATTATGATGTTCTTTCATCGATTTGAGGTCTCCTTGGGGCTGCCATACTGGTCATATTGGTCAAATCCAAAATAGCCACCATCTGATAGTTACAGGTCATGTGTAGTTTTGAAAGGAAATTGGCTAGTATGATAAAAGTTTATATATTAAGGGGGTTTTCGGGGTCAGAGAATCTGATTATGATGTGCTTGTATCGATTTGTATCTATTTGAGGTCTCCTTGGGGCTGTCATGCTGGTCATATTGGCCACATAAAAAATGGCCGCCATCCGAGTTAAAGGTCAAACATAGTTTCAAAAGGAAAAGGGCAGTATGATAAAAGTTGATGAATTCATGGGGTTTCCGGGTCGGATAATCTGATTATGATGTTCTTTTATCAATAAGCAAGTTCGTAATTGCACCCTCCGCATGCGCCAAAATCGGGAACGAACTTTTACAAAGGTCACATGAACATAAAGAGAGCTGAGAGAGGAACTGTAATTTGTTCGTGTGCTGGCCTTTCCTTTGTTAATGATCACATCTGACACATCAGTCACCGAAAATCATTTCTGAATGTCGGAATTGGTTCTTTATAGTAAACTTTACTTGGAATCTGGTCATCGGTAAAGTATTATCGGCATTATCGTGATACAAGTCCCCAGGGACTCGGATCCACAGACACTTTTTACTTTGAAAAAACATTTTCTAACTTCCAAAATTGTATCCACCAAAGCGCGCTTTTAATGGATTATTACTTTATTTAGTCAAGCCAATTTATCTAGTAGCCTATTAAAAGTCATTCACTATTTGAAATAAAGCAAACTATAATTTAAATTCATTTAGTCAAGCATTGATTAGGATGAATAAATGTATATTATATTTATTAATTTCACATTGCCTTTAACGATAATTGAAGACGAAATATAACTTTCATTCAATTTTGTTTTAGATGATATTACTGATTTACTAAGTCAAGCCAATTTATCTAGTAGGCCTATTAAGAGAAACACTATAAAACTGTCTATATATTCTTCGTGGTGCGAGTCCCCCTGAGTGTTAAGATGATCAAATCTCCCATAGGAGGGGACTTACACAGTGGCGGATCCATCCGGCGGCAAGAAGGGGGGGGGGGGCTAATTCGTGAGAAAATATTTAGCGGCGACTCAGCCAGCCGGTGAATAAGCAACAAAAAAAAAATTTTAGTTATTTATTATCATTATTATTATTGCCAGTAGGGGGCGGGGGCGGGCCTGTCGAACACTCTTGTACACGTCATGTGATTCCTGACTGAACTAAAGGTTTATAATTATGATTGCAGCATGAGCTAAGTCCAGCATTTTGTGTGCCAATATCTTAAAAAGAGAGTGCAATCGCCGAAATTTTTGATTGTAATGGTATGTTAATTGATAACGTAGACATTTTAAGTTTCTCTTCGAATTCTGCGATTTTGTAAGAGCTATGGTACTTTTGTTTTTAGCGCTCCTAAATAAGCGATAATATGAGTAGTCGTAATAGTAGCGTTTCAAAGTTTCACAATTCAATCAAAATTGTCTAGGTTAGTGCAAATATCAAAATACTTCTTTTTTATTCCATGATTATTTTTAATGATTCTTATTGATTAATTTAATGTAATATATCATTGAGTTTTAAATGGGGCCAAATTTGACTAGTTACATAACAATGTAAGAAAGATTGTTTTTAAGGATGTCCGGGTTTTTAAAGATAATGCTTCAAAACAAA